TAAAAGACGTAATTATACGTAAGCAAAGCGGCGTTCTTATTTATCGGACAATAGCCATCGCGTTCATTTCCTCGTTAGGAGGAAATTTGGTTGCTTTGCCGCCGAGTTTCCGTTATACGAGCAACGCTTGGAAGAAAGAGTTCGGTCTTATAAAAATTAATCGTTTTGGCCCAATTCTCGCGTCAAGGGAGGCAAGAGAGGGCATTCGACTGAGTTAAATTGGTTTGTATGGGCACTGCTTGGGGCACGGTCCCGCAGTAAAGTGGACTTTTAGGTGGCAGACCGGCACATGCGGGCTTTACTCGTGTCCCTTCCTAGTGTCTTCCATTTACCCCCTACCAAGTCGTTCTTCTCTTCGAATGCCCATCGTCAGCTCTTCTACGTTCCTCTCTCTCTTTCTCTCCTCCAACCAGCCGCGTATATAACGCAATAATCATTTAATTCTGGCGGTCGTACGCGCAGCGCTTGGCGCCAACTCAATCTAAGCCAACCGGATATGCCTCTCTCGTCTGCCTCGGACTGCCACTGACGTAATCCCAAACTTTTTAACAATCAATAGAAAGAAGCAAATAAATCTTGCAAGGTGACGGGGTAGATCCCTACAAAGGATCGTACTCCTTTTGTTTTGTTCGAGGCTGCACGGTGCGCGCTTCATTTGTTGGCATGAAAGTGCTAATGAATATCGGCCCTAAATATCGGCCCTAAATATCGGCCCTAAATATCGGTCCACGGGGATGAAGGGTAGTAACACACTGGGTGTGCTCGTCGTCGGTGCATATGTCTTTATATATTATGGGGGATTACACGTCCAAGTTTTCCCCGTCGAAAGTCGTCACGAAAGGCGGACTCGATACGTTCACGCCTGTGCGTATATGCGTGTGCGTATATGCGTGTGCGTTTATGCGTGTACGTTTATGCTTTAGGGCTCCGACCGATCGACCGACCGACCGACCGACCAACCGACCGACCAACCGACCGACCGACCCTGGTCACGCTCGTTTGTTCCGCGTTAATTTTCTCTCCTTTATTCACCCTCTTCTCGGTTTCTCTTTCGATGGAAATTCTCCGATGCGCGACACCATATGTCAATTCCCATCGTTTTAGAGTCAAGCATAGTCTAGCAAGTTCGCGTATACTTGCAATAATAGTGCTCTTTTGTACCATATCTCAGTTGATGGACCACCACCACCAATGAAATCCTTCCAAGCTAAACTTCCAAGCTATTGTCAGGAAAAACTTAGACCATAGAAAAATGGGGAGGGAGAAACTTTTTGTCGTCTTGCGAAATTGGCCGCGATCAATAATTCGATTGTCGAGTTTTAATTGATATTCCTACAGTCGCGTTGATCGTATTGATCGTATTGATCGCGTTGATAGCGCTGATCCTCGTCACCGTCATATAGATCAATCGATCTTCGCGGGATTTAAATCGTATATTTCGACGATCTTGGGCGCGATTAGATAAACTTTTAATACTCTTCGAGGAAACAGCAACGATTAGGTTTGTTTTTGTTTTTATTACTGTTAGCCACAACGACTGTCGTCGCTTGTTGTCCAATTGCGACATATTTCTTCGTATAAATCCCGTGACACAATTGGATATAGGAAAGGAAAAAATAATAAATAATAATAAATTTAGAGAAAGAAGGAGTAAAACATTGTATTGTTATCGTTGAAGAAATTAGAACAGTCTGTCGATTTGAACAGCTTATAGATCGAATCAGTGTCGATCGATAAGCCCGTAAGACTTTTCGAATTGATCTCGTCGAGTCGAAATAATTATTTCTCATTATGTTGGCAGTATTTCTTTCTAGACACGTAAGTCTCACTCAAAGTTGATTCGTTTACCCGCAGGCTTCCAACTGCGTTAACAACCCGTAGCTTCGCATAAGCGTTTACGTACGTGTCGCACGAGATATCGTTTTCCCCGATAACCATCACCCACATCCCTAATTGATAAAAACAATAGCTAATAAGTATATTTTCTTCTTGATTGATTGCGAGAGTGACTCATGTTTGTAGATATATATATATATATATATATACATACATACGTAGGTCGTTCCGCCTGGCTCTCTCTATAGAAGAGAAGGACGATCACGAGAATATGTCTTTACTAGGGTATATCGTTGAAACGGTAATTGTTTGACGGGACAATCAAGTATTCAATTTGTGGCGCCAACGGAAGCCTGGACCGGCGCGGCGCGGTGCGGCGCGGTGCGGCGCGGTGCGGCGCGGCGCATTCAACTATTATAGTTTATCAAGGTAAACGTTAGACTGAATGTTACGATGATTTTTCATTATTAATAAGTTAAGTAGACATTTACTCGAGTACAAATAGAGAATAAAATTGTTAAAACATTCGTTTTGAGAATAAATTAATAAAAAAAAAAAAAAAAAATAAATGTTCTGCTACAGTGCGCACACGATAATTACGTTTGTAAGTTAAGATTAACAATAATTGCGTTTATCGATCGATCACAGGGTATCGGCGGATGTTAATGAAAGAGATCCGAAAGCGTTTCTTTCTTTTTCATCGGTAATTCAAGCACAAACATGATTACTGTATTCGCAACGTAATGCGAAAATGACGATCGTTATAATTGTTGGTAAACGAGCTATTATTGCGTATTCATTGGATTAAGATATCGCGTATATATTGTATTATATCTGTATTGTTTTTCGACGCATTCAATCTTTAAATTGGTTCTGACCGAATAAACAAACGTAGCCACTAAACGTTAGCCACGATAAGTTGAAATTTCTTGTAGATTAGTCATCGAATAATTTCTCTGGAAACGGAAAGAAACTTGACTTTTTGTGTAATTGGGAAAAAAAGCGTTTCCTCGTGTTCTATAATTTAGCAGGAGACATTAGGTTGTTCACCGTTTTCTTTCGAGAACCACGATCCACGAGTTTTCCTATTTTCTGCGATAAGAGAAGCAAGCAATCTTCTCCAGCGAAGATACTCTCCTCACTCGTCGGAGTGAGCGAGAATGATTGATGCGGTTTGTCGCTACCTTACTTTTTTCTATTCTACAACGTTTTTCTATTCTCATCTCGCGAAAGAGACTTTGTCGAAAGTAGATGAGTAGATGAGTAGATGAGTAGATGAGTAGATGAGTAGACGAGTACTTTTTTAACCTTTATCATCCTCCAATTGCAAAGACAGTTGCCACTGACTAACAGAGCATTAGATTATATGGATTGTATAATAATATTTAGTATAGACAAAAAAACATAATTGAAGCATAATTTAAACATAATTTAAACAATAATTTATTTATATTAAAGAAAGGTGAAGAAAACGCGGCGACGCGCGTTCGTGACGCGTCGTGTTTGTCGATGCATGTCGTCGTCCGACATTTACACAAAAATCCGCCGGACATTTTTCATAATCTATTCCACGAAAGTATCAGGAGTAATAAAGGGTTAATACGGTAATCGCATAAGACGGTAAACGGTTAGATCGGAGAGTATAGATTACGGTCTCGGTTGACGGTGCGTTTCAATTTCGTTGCGAATTAAGTCGAAATAGCGAGTAATTGACACGGGTCTATGGATTTAGGCGAAATATTTTTCTCGCTGTTTTTCAACGGCCCTTTAACAAGAAGAGATCAACAAAAAATATTGTATATCGTGCACGATTGCTAATTGTCGAATAATTTAATACGACTTAATCGTGTTGCGAGACAAGGAGGACAATTGCGCATTCCTTTCAAGAAAATCCACACATAACGAGACATCGATAATCTTCTTTCGTTATCACCTGTGCCAAAAATATGCTGCGAATGAACGCAAAGTGACGATTGCCAAGATCGAAAAAGTTCATGTCAAATAAAATCTTGTTTCTCTGTTTGTGCATTATCATTGTCGCGTTGCACCAAAAATTCTACCTTATCTATCGGCTTTCGTTATCGCCGATAAATGGAAAGGATTTATTTCTTCTTGAAAACAGAATTTCTCTCTCTCTCTCTCTCTCTCTCTCTTTCTATTGTTCTTTCCTTATCGCAGGGTTCGTTGTAAATGTAAGAAATCATTATTGAGATCGAAATACTTGAATATTATTCGGGAAAGGAAGAAACGCGATATAGTATCAAAATCAGAAAAGTAGTAGGACTTTGTTGTCTTATTTATTAGTAATCGGAGAAAGAGCCGCGTGTAATGTCGATGCACGGTGAATCCCATACGCGTAGTACTTTGGACGTGCGCGCGCGTTTTCCGACTTTCTCTCGCTCGCGTGGGAGGGCAAAGCACAAATATCAATCAGTGAAGTCAAGAGCGGAATCAGGGTGGCCGAGTGGTTCCACATAATGCTGGCGAGCGTAAAGGTAGGATAGAGGTAGGATAGAGGTAGGTTAGAGGTAGGATAGAGATAGATCGAGCGTACGTACATTCGAGATACACACCCAGCTGTACCACCCCCGCACAGAGAATCTCTCATCCGGGTGAATCGCGAGAATAAGCACGTAGAGCACTTGCTAGGTTGCTTGCGCGCGAATGCTACGAATGCTTCTCTGTGTTTGCGTGTGTGTGTGTGTGTGTGTGTTTGTGTATGCGGGAGTAGAGTAGGGAAGAAGGAGGCGTGCCAGGGAGGCGGAGCCAACTTTGAAAATCCCAGCTAGTATCCAACATTTCTCTCTCTCCCTCTCTCTCTTTCCCTCTCTCTTTTTCCCACTCTCTCTCTCTCCCTCCCTCTCTCTCTCTCTCTCTCTCTCTTTTGGTCTTTATCCGTTCGTGCATCCGTCCGTCCATCCGTCCATCCGTCCACTCGTTCGTCCGTATATCTATCTGCGTTGCTCTTACTTTACTCATTCGTCTCCCACTTCTAATCGGTCTCTCGGTCTCTCTTTCTCTCCCCTCTGAACCGCGTGCGCGCAACTTATTATATACATATATCCGTCTCACTCTTCGTCCATCGTCGTCGTAGTCGTCGTCATCATCGTCGTCGTCGTCGTCGTCGTCGTCGTCGTCGTCGTCGTCGTCGCATGGGAGTCCCTCGGCACTATCGGATCCCGTTAACGGCAGTCGCCGTCGAGACACCCGCTATAACGTCTCTCGCATCTCCGCGACACACACATAATACACACATAATACACACTTAATATACACACGCAACATTAAAGCTCGGTGGTGTGTCATTATTTCCTTTTGTTTTTTTCTTCTTCATCGGCGTTGGATTTGGAGCGTTGGATTTGGAGAGTTGGATTTGGAGCGTCCTGCAATCCTTGCGATCGACGTGCAATAGGAGATTAACCCTTTGTGCTCGTTCGAGAACAATCATTGCAAACTAATTGCGATTAGATCAAGTTTCCAGGATGAAATATTGGAACGTGTTTCTTCTTCTCGTATTCGAGGAAAGATACGACCTATTTTGAAGTTTCGTGCAACGAAGATCATTTTTAACGGATCGGTGCCTCAACTATAGATACTTTTCTTTCATTCAAAGTTACTTGGTTGGATATAGCAAGGAATCCTCCGCGAGGTACGCGGATGTTGGGTGTAGCGAGGAGAAGAAAAAAGTTTCCATAAGTATAAGGGAAACAAGAAAGAGTGAATCATCAGGATGATGGAAGTGCAGCAACAACACTCGCCTGTTGGGGTGGGTCCGTTGGATTTTTCGCGTAGAGGTGTAGCCGAAACGTCAGCTTTTCGGGTCGTCAAACCGAAACAACCGACTTCATCGTTGGTACATCAACAGGCTGTGTCACAGGAAACTAATAACAACGAAAATCTTCAAGAAAATTCGCAAGTTTCGCTCGAATCCGAAGGTAAGGTTTTTTCTAGATATAATTGAAAAAAGATGTAGTTGATAGAAATTGGACAATTATCGTTTAACGTTAGGCTTTAAAGGTAATAACGATAATGAAGACTAAAGAAAAAGAAATCATTTGGTAGTCCCTTCATCAAACTATTCCTTACAGAAACTTTGATCGCACACGCAAAGCGAACGTAGAAGCGTGTTGCGCGTTGATTTATGTGTGTATGTGTGTACGCGCGCGCGTGTGTGTGTGTTGTGTGTGTGTGTGTGTGTGTGTGTATGTGTGCAGGTGCGTAAGAGAATCGAGTCGGCAGGATGGCCGTTCAACAGGTGAGGGGATGGATTAGACAGCGTGCCTATACTAATACTCGGTTGCTAATCAGGGTAATAGGCTAACGTAATAATATCATCATCCCACGCAGAGCCGGGCTAAACAGTTTAAGCCGTAATTGCCAGGTGATGGGCAGATCGTGGAGAGGGTTGATGCCTTCCATTCGGATCGAGACATCGAATCTTCTGTTAAGCTGACGATTTCTCTCGATAATTAACATTTTTAACATTCCAATCTTGAAAGAGAGTCAAAGAAATTTTGCATTGAAAGTCTATTATTTGAAAAGTAAATATATAAATGTATCGGGAAGAAAGATATAAGAAGTAGAAACCAGTTTATAGTTAGAATATTAGGACGTTCCATACCCTTGGAAAAAGTTGGGCACACTATGCTAACAGAAAATCACGATGGATTTACGTTTATAGATTTACGTTTATAGATTTACGACAGGGACGATGATAGCGTGGTATGCAGGATAAGCGTTGTACAGAACGAAGAGCGATATTATCGGTGTTCTCTCTCTTTCTTTCTCTCTCTCTCTCTCTCTCTCTCTCTCTCTCTCTAAGACTGCGTTACCTGCAACGTGTGTACACGTTCGGTGGTATCAACGACATTGTGTACACCGAAACGCTGCGGTCATCTTATCTCGGCCGAGTGGTACCTTCGCTATATAGGAAAATATGATTTATTTCTGATAATCCTACGAGAATGAGATAGCCTTTGCTACGGTAGAGCCGCGGCCGGCGCAACTAATCTCTTCGCGCTATCTCGGATTATCCCGGTCGTTACTATATTGCCCGGATTACCGATTCTTTTTTTTTCCCGCCGATGATTCTTTTCGTCGTATTCGTCAGCATTCAGTATCATTCAATCGAACATTTCGAATCGTCATCCGTCGGGATCTGTTCGGTCTTGAAACCGGGATGGAAAATTCCAAAAATGGGACCTTTTTTTGTATTCTTATAGCTTGATAAATAGGATAATCGGTTGGATAAGGAAAAAAAGAAAAAATCCAAATTTGTAATTCCATGCGATCTAGTCAAGGGATGCGGGTAAAGTTAGGTATTCGTAAATGTTGTAGGTTGCCGATCAAAGAAACCAAGACGATGGATGGTGAATGAATGTTCCTCGATAGGAATGCAGTTTGAAAGAAAGAGAAGGAGTAATAGTCGAGACACGGTTGATAAATAGAGGAGGGTTTCCCTCCTTTCTAATAAAGACGCTCTTGTCGAGGGGTTGATCTTTCCTACGAACTGGGAATACCAAATTTGTCAGGACTTGAGACGTTACAGATGCGTATTCCTCCTAGGTTCTTTAGTGTAACACGCGCAACGAGGAACGAATAAACACATTCTATAACAAGACTTTTATCCTCTTCTTTTATTTCTTTTCTATGTTCTTAACGAATGTTGATACATATTCACTTATTACTTGTTTACTTTTTACTTTTAGGTGGATGCAACGTACGTTTAATGTTCCCAAGACTATGGGCACCATTTGGAAATACAACTGAGGTTACGAATCTTCCACCGCTACCGAAAAGTCACTCAGGTATACTCGAATTGCATCTATTACGACGGTGTATGTGTGCGTGCGTGGGTGTGCGTGCGTGCGTGGGTGTGCGTGCGTGGGTGCGTGTGGGACACGGGGGAGTTTCTCTCAACTTCCACCTCCGCTATGGCGGCTAGTTTTTATTCGCCAATCGTTAATAACGACTGGTCGTCCGATGATTGGGATAAATGGTAGCACGCGTCATACCGCGGATGGACATGGGCTCTTCTAACTCTTAGCATCCCAATTGGAGCAGATTAGAGGCGCAGCTTAGGGATTCGGACGCGTCGTCGGTCCCTTTGTACTCGTCGTACGACATTGGTCTCTCTCTTTCTCTCTCTTTCTCTCTCTTTCTCATGTCAGTCGTACCTACCCTAAATTAGTAACGTCTTGTCATGTTAATACGCATATATCGGCTCTCTTCCTACTCCTTCCTAGTGGCTACACGTGGCTCCTCTTATCTTCGACTCATCATCGAGTCGCGTAGTAGCATTTTTATTTAAACGCGTTGGAATCGTATTGAATCAATGATCGTCTGATGAATGAAAAACAAGGAGGAGAAACGAATAATTTGTATCACGATTGTTACGATGTTTCTTTTTCATGTTAAGCGCTAGCACGACGAGTATTTTTGCTACCTATTTTATTGTTGTCTTCTTTTTGAACGAACATGATTTAGGAGAGGGAGAAAGAGATCGTAAAAAGGGGTATTAAGTTTAAATGAGTACTGACGGCTCGATGAAAAATCCTTTTTTGAAAACCCACATCTTCCTGGCGCGGTCGTACCGTCTATTGACGGCGCCGTCGTTGATCGTCGTACTTACATATTTCTTTCCACGAACAAACGAACAAACGAACAAACGAACAGGACGGAAGGAGTTTGACGATTTGTAGCGTGTTGGAGCCTTAATAGCGGCAGATCGCTACGCAGTAAACGACTGACGGACGACGCAAGATTAACTCGATCTAATTGTCCCCCCAACCACCCCCTCTCTCCCCCTGAGAAGGCCTGGCCTTCCTTTATTAATCTACGTTGACGACTATCTTCGACATCGTTGTCTGTCTTTGCTACCCTTCTTCTTTCCAAAACTTTCTTCATAAATCTCTAGAAGCAAATTGTCCTCTGTCGTTTATTTGACTAAAATCGGATTCGCTCGAAGAAAGATTAAAAGGGAAGGGACAAGGACCGGATTAGCATTATCAAATGAGCAACGTTATCTTGATTGCAACGACTCTAGTCGAATGATATTAAAGCGCTCGAGTCCTTCGTACTCGAGTACGAAAGTTCTGACGGCAAAGGCGGACCGAGGTGAACCATCTGCTGGACGGTCGCTACGATGACGACTGTTTTTTCACGACGCTTTGCACTTTGCACCGAATGCTTTTTACCGCATTCCACTATATCCCAGATGTGGCATTTGCGTAAGCAGTTCTTCCTAACTCGTCCCGAGTCACATCTGTCCGGACTTCCTCTTTCTTCTCGTCATATTTTTATTTCGTTCCACTTTCCTTCTTCTCTTCTCAAAGATCCATCCCCTTTTTATCTTTCTTACGTTCGTTTTTATCTCCTTCCTTTGTCAAAACTACCTTCGCATAAATTCTCTCGGAAGATAGAGAAGAGTCTACTCTAGCTTAGTTTACTCGATACGAGTTTTCAATGACAGAACGTAATCTTTTCAATTGATATACATATTATATATAGTATATTTTTTTTGATTTTCCCTTCAATTATATCGTGTGTCGCAAACAATGACATTTTTTTATCGAGCAGCACGGATCGATTCTTCCTACTATTGCCGTAATATACTTTGCGGATATTAATGCATCGGAAGAACAAAATCTATTCATCGATCTTTTAGCAAGTACGAACAAGTACGAAAGTAGTATCTTGTGCATCTATCTTCCGATAAAAATGATTGCTATCTCTTTATATTATCTACATCTCCCTCTGTTGTACATATTCATTTTTCCCAAACGCTATAGCCGTTCGGGGCTATAGTACCGCGGGCGTGAGCGTTTTTCATTACATTAGGTCGCTCTCGTCGTGGCCTGTTCCTGCCTTATTTTGATTCGATTGCAAAGCCACCAGGAGTCAAGATAATAATCGGCCCTTCGACGATGCAGGGGGTCGCAGTAGAGTGAGTCCTTTAAATGCGATTATCCGGGCACGGCTGGCTGCGTTATACGCACCAGCAGTAGTAGTAGTAGTAGTAGTAGTAGCAGCACGTGACCGCGTGTCGCGTGCACGGATTATAAATATAATATACTCGGGCCCACAAGTTGCATCATAGCAAATTACGATGCGATCGTAAATCACAACGCGTTATTGCTCATTCGTCGACATGGCATCGACGACCAATTAGATGTTCATCTTTCTTTTGTATTGTTTTCGCAGAACGATTGTCCTTTGGCGTTGGTCGTCTGGTAGGTTCACCGGCGACAACGAGCCCCTCGCCGTCGCATTCGCCGTGCCCAGAGTCCCCCTCTCCAGCACTCGATCGTCGAGACTGCACCGAGATAGACGTCGACGTAGAGGAGGAAGAAGTCGACGTGGACGTGGAAGAGGTTGGCGAGGAGGACGACCGAACCCATCGTTCTTCGTCGACGCCATCGCCTACCGGGACGATAACCTCGGCGACGTCTCACTCGCATCCGCCTAAAAGATCGGCCGATACGTTCAGCGTGTCGGCGCTTCTGAGGCCCGACCCACCCTCGGCTCACCTTCAAAATGCTTCTCCTCCCATTGGCGGGGGAGCTCATCCGGCAACACCGAGCTCCTCCATACTCTATCCACCTCTTCATCTTCAGGGTGGCCTTCTGCCACCTCATCCTCACCATCCTCTCTCTTACCTTCATCCTCAATTGTTGCCCCATCATCTTTTGCCGCCCCACTTGCACCCGCTGTTACGCGGCGTCCATCCTGGACACCCGGCTCTGCACTCAACTCACACGGCACACGGGCTGCATCATCCCCATCCGCTCGCAGACGTTTACAGCTGCGTCAAGTGCGACAAGATGTTTAGCACGCCTCACGGCCTCGAGGTACGTAAACGTCATTGAGTCAAGAGAACTCTCTTCGACAGGAAATTGCGATATCATCGATTGTAAAATGCCTCGATAGGTGCACGCGAGAAGATCTCACAACGGGAAGAGACCGTTCGCTTGCGAACTCTGCAACAAAACCTTTGGCCACGAGATAAGTTTGACGCAACACAGGGCAGTACATTCCGCTGAAAAGGTCTTCGAATGTAAGCAGTGCGGAAAAGCGTTCAAACGATCGAGCACCCTGAGCACGCACTTGCTGATACACTCCGATACCAGGCCGTATCCGTGTCAATTTTGTGGAAAACGTTTCCATCAGAAGAGCGACATGAAGAAACATACTTACATACACACAGGTAGGTGACAGGTATATCCCGGGCTTTCTTTTACCCCAAATTACATTACGAAAAGCATTTTCGATAATCACGCGATCCAGCTAAATCTCGCGAGTCTCAGGATACTTTCAGCATAGTCTCGTAGAAATTTATCGGGCTGCTGCTCCGATGGAGTTGGAAGGAATTAATTAACGAAGCGACTTTCTACGATAAATAATGCATCCAACCGTCTGGACGAAGTCAGTATTGTGCGCGAGGCGAGACGATTCGCTCGAGTTCAGGCACATGTGGCCGGTTGGTTTCTGCTGGATGAATGGTTGGACAGTGGCAGGGGCAGGGGCAGGGGCAGGGGCAGAGGCAGAGGCAGTGGCAGAAGCAGGGGGCAGGAGGGTGTGTGGGGTCCCCCCCTCCCCTCCCCGGGTTAGGTCTGCCGAGCCCCACATTGCGAGTTTCGTTCGGTAATAATCGTAATGTCTTTCGGGGTGATTCCCCTGTTCCTCTCGTATTCCGTTTACCCCTCAGGTTCTTTGCTTCCACGAGTAGTAGTATAGTGTCCCCCTCCCCCAATTGTCGATCTTCGAATAGAATTTTATCGCGGCGATTATAGTCCGTGGGAAAAGCGGAACGAGTTAGCCTCTCGCTAATCCCAGTGGAAAGATTTTCCGCGCTTTTCGGATTGATCTTCCAATATGTTAGGATCGATGAAAATAAAGTAAGTACATGATGATACGTTTCTCTCTAGTTAAATTCCATGATCATTTGTCTCGCAAAGGATAACCTTTTTGTTTTTTTATCGAAACCCGACTCCGATATCGGAAGTCGAGAACATCGCCGAAGGGATGGCGTTGGGACACTTGACACTCGTGCGTCTGAAAGCTGACGGAGCGACGGTTCTGAAGGAGAAGACTAGGTTCTTAAGTGGGAGGCAAAGCGGGTCTGGCCTTTGTATCGTTTCCATGGCAACCCTCCCAATGTCTTATCAAATTATCACCTTGTTCTCTCCCTTCTTCTTATCGTTTGGATTGCTTCCGTCGCTAGATCACTTCCAGCTCCTTATTCACCCTTCTTGGAAGGAAGTAAAACTGCCTCGTCAGGATTCGTTGAAAGAGGATACAAAGCGATGGTGGTGGTCACTTGCTTGCGGGCCCGCTAACTACCTATGGGACCGCAACGACGAGTTCGTCCACTTCGTTTATTTGTCTAGTTTATTTGCTAAGTCTCTTCTCGATCCAACGCGAGGGTCGCAACGGAACATTTAATTCATTATTCAGAGGGATGAAAAATTGAGCGACTCGACGTCCGATACTCCGTTCAGGAGTAACGCGCGTCGCAATTGCTTCGTGAAATGACGATGCTCCGGTCAGTTATTCTCTTCCTTTTTCCTCGACGTTTCCATCACGTTTCCATCACGTTTCCATCACGTTTCCATCACGTTTCTATTTCGACGAAATTACTTTTCGATAGGATCAACGGGATTCTCCCTCCTTTATCCCAACGATCATGATTTCGAGGTCCATTCACAAACGCGAGCAATTTCTATTGACCAGCTTTCAGTTTCTACGGCATAAAACATAAAAGGCAACGATAAAAGGTGAACGTTCTCGACGTTGAGAAAAAATTTGTAGGATTCGTAAGATTAATCGGTTGATCGAAGTTTACGCGTTACGCGTTTTTCCTCGATCGAACAAATACTTGTTAGTTTTTTTTTTCTTTCGTCGCTTTATATTCAAGTACTGTGGAAACTCGTTCGCGTACGTGCGTGAGAGACAGATAGAGAGGGTGTTCTGGGATTCGAAACTAATGATAATAAGTCCTCGTTGTCTCTCTCCCTTTCTTTCTCTTCCACTTTCGATCTCTTCTCTCGGTCGTTCTTTTTTGCCGTCCCTCTGCAACCACATTCCCTTCGTCGTGAACACGGGCCATGTGCAATAAGGGTGCGGCACCGTCGGATTCCCCGGGGACCGGCATGGCGTAACGTAAAATCATTATTAGGTAGGTAGGTAGGTAGGTAGGTAGGTAGGTAGGCAAGTAGTTAGGTAGGTAGGTAGGTAGGTAGGTAGGTAGGTAGGTAGGTAGGTAGGTAGATAGTTGGTGGTGGTGGTGCACACAAGGACAGAGAGAGAGAGAGAGAGAGAGAGAGAGAAAGGGAAACGTTAGCTTGGAAAGGGAGAGAGTCGGGCGCTTTAGGGGGTTGGGAATAAGAGCTCTGCAAATATTGTTCGTGCGCGAGTCGGCAAGCGGAGTAGCAAGTCGAGGGGGAAGCGTTACCTTCGTCATTAGGAGGGCTCTACGTTGGGGGGGGGGTGGTACGTCGAGGTGGCAGCGTATGAAGAGTCAAGTGCACGGTGGCTGCGAGCAGCTCCCGCACGAGAGATCGATTGGATAACGTCGCGTCATGGGTATCGAGAAGGCGACAGACTGACAAGTGGTCAACCACCCTCTTGCGAAAACATTGCGGCTCCATTGGAGAAACGTTTTTCTTTGGGGTGATGCTCGAACTACGGCTCTCTCGATGATCACGGCCAAGATCTCTTTTCCTTCGGTACAATCTGATTTCTTGGTCTCTTAGTCGAGTCATTCTACTGTTGCAGAACGATGCGTTACGATGTAAAATAGATATTTCGATTGTTAATTAGACATTCCGTTTGTTTCATAGTGTACATTGATTGCGATTACAAGAGAATCGATGTAATCTTATATCGAGACAATCCTATATAGAGACACCGCACCCCTTAAACAGTTGCCGTGACACACGGCAGTGCGTCGTCTTTTGTTTTTACAATAAACACAACCTGTCCGCTCTTTGGGTGTCGTTCTCTGAGGGAAGAAGATCAACGTCAATTGTATACTTTTCCTTGTCCCAACTGGTCGATTTCGTTTCGTTTCATTTCGTTCTGTTTCGTTTCGTTTCGTTTTCACTGCCGACGAAAATGCCGACGAAAGTGCCGACGATTATTTTAGTGAGAATTAGGTGCGAACGCGCGAGCATTAGTTTTGTTTCTTTCTCTCTCCCTCTCTCTGTTCTCGAACGAATGCGTCGCGGTTCGTCGTGGTCGTAAGCGTTGACGTAGAACTAATTAATGCAATTTCGTTCGTTCGTTGGCGTAACGTGATGCCCTGTTAAAACAGTCATAAAAGAGAATTAATTGAAAAAAATGATTCTACGTTCTCGTATCAAGGATATACGTTCTATGTGCAACGACTGTACACGTCAACAACGCGTCGTAGGTGTAAATTACAATTAGGTTAGACTCTCGTGGCGCTATTTTGCGTTTTACCTTTAACGAATGAGGAATACCTGCTGCTGGTCTTGCTCTGAAACTTGTCTCGAGGGTACTGTTTGAGAACATTGCGGGCGGGCGCGTTCACGGTATACCTATTAGAGGTTTAGAGAAGGCCGCAACATTACCTAAGCTGTTTAAACTTTGGCGACGAGGGGACCGCTCGGAAGGCCCCCTTTTCATAATTCCGTCGACGTAAAGAGTCGTGCTTGGAAATTTATCTATTTCCTCGCGATTCCTAGGTAGCACGCAAAGTAAATTTTCAACTGCGAACCGAGTAATCACCATCTTTATCGTGCCGATTGTTCAATTGTTCGCACAAACGAAACAATTTAGAGTATCATAGAAGAAGTTTGGTCAAGGAAGCAAAGGTAGTGGTGTTAGTGTATCGAAGGAAGGACAAAGTTTGCTGCCTCGCTTTATCGCTATTGGGTTCGAGCTTGGAGCTTCGAGCGTTGGATGTCGAGGACGTTACGTTTAATGCGACGATGGTAAGCCGGTAGGAACATCCGATGCTGCATCAAACATGCAAATTCGCTGATATAACGTTACACGGATACCTCGACGCGATCCGTTATCATCGTGACGACGATCCGTTGAGCGTTGGCACCGTGCGACATAGTAGTATAGGAGCATGATTAAATTTCCAAGGATATCGACACGACAGGAACACGTAAATCCTCCTTCCTCCTTCCTCCTTCTTCCATCCATCTACGTTGTTATTCGTAGTACGTGTGCAGGTACGTGTGCAGGTACGTGTGCAGGTACGTAGGACTCGTATCTTCCTCCTCGTCGTCTCGTCTCTTCCTTTTTCGGGCTAGAAGCTTGAAATTAACTATCAAAGATGCGAAACGTCGTTACAGCATCTACTGCGGCATCTACTGCGGCATCTACTACGGCGTCATCGATAAAGCTTCTTCATCCTTCTTAGACTTTGCTTTTCAAAAGGACCCTGAGAGAGTAATGCGATAGAAAGATGGATGAAGGATATTAGTCTTATATCGTTTTCTAGGATAGGGAAAGAAAAAGAAGGTTTGATATTTATTCATCGCGGTGGACTGTCATGCTGGTTAGGAAAAGAGGAGCACGCGTCATCTCCGTTAATGGACGGTAATCGTAAGATATGAAATGTAAGGCGATCAAGGATAATTAGAAGGAGTAGAGAGAAGCTTAGGTAGCGGGACCCTTCGCGCCAATGGCACAGATCGGATTTGTCACGATTCCTAATGTTGATCGACGCCTTAATAATTTAATAGCCATACGTCCGCCGTGATCGTCCGGGAGAAGATTATTACCGCGGATCCCTCGGTTAGATCGAAAGCACTAAGGAGCTAACAGACTTAGCGGCGGTATCGCGTTTCCTCCTTTACTTTGGCTCCGGTCTCTACCCTCTACGGGAAATATTGTATATCGCGACGGAAGCCACCGCTCTCCAGAGACAATAATTGCCATCAATCCCATCATTGCTTGACGTTCTTTCCAAACTTTTTTTATCTTTTTCTCTTCTTTTTTCTTCTTTTTTTTTTTTTTTTTTTTTTAACCGATAAACTAACGTACTAACGTATTCCCTTAACCATAGCCGTCCTTTCGAAGGCTATCACTTGTTCTCTCTCTCTCTCTTTATCTCTCGAAATCCGCCCATTTGACGACCGGGTAAAACGTGCGTTGCAAACACGACACGGCACGGCACGGCACGGCATGGCATGGCACAGTACGGCACGGGTCGTGTCCGTGCACGTAGCCGTGAAATAGTAAATACAAAGCTCCCGTGTCGATTCGACGCTCGATTCGACGCTCAATTCGACGCGCGATTCGATCCCCTCGAGAGGCTGCTAACATTCGCTGACACGCCGGTATTTCGATACCACCGCACGGACACGCCCGTGAAATATACGAGGACTACTATAGCCGAGTGTTAACCCGCATTTTCGAGCGTTTGTCGGCACGACGATCGATGACAAGAAATTCAAATTGCACCGGGGACGCATTCGGCTATTTGGAATTACTTTCGATCCTTGTTTTCCCTGTTTTCGATGTTTAGTTTCCCTCTTTCCATTTTTACTCGAATCTATCGAAAGCGTTTAATCATTACTAAATAGATATTTAGTATATTTGAAGTATTCCAAAGAAATCTATGCTACCCTCGTACGATTCGCTCTCTCTTTCTCCTTCTCTCTCGTTGGCAAGAATTTTCCTTTGGAAAGAAAAGAGGGCCGCCTCCAGAGACGCAACCCGCAGAGTAGAGACGTGGTCGATGAAGACGAGAAGAAATCAATGCCTCGGTCAGAGTCCGCTTCACCTTCCTCTCTCTCCTCTCCACTCAGCAATATTCTCCGCCTACTCGTTTTCTCCTCTTTTTGCTCTTTCGCTTGGAGTTTATTTGCAACCGATAAAACTCAAAGATTTGTCTGTCGACTATTTCGTCGTCGTAAAAAATCGAATATCAATGTTGATGCAATTCGTTAAGGATAAAATGGGAACAAGTTGGACTGTTGGTATCGAAGAATAATACTTTTTTGCTTTGTCAATTCTAAAAGTAATACGTATCCGTAGAAATGGCGGTAATAGAAAAGGAAAAGGAGAAGAGAGAGGGAGAATTAGCGGAGGAAAAGACCCTTGCAAGATTTCCACGAGTTTAATATAGTTTTAGGGGCGTCGACTGAGAAAGAGAGTACGGGGGTGTAATGGTGTCTTAAACCGCAGTGACTCTCAACTAAGAGAGTAAACTCTCTCTCTCTCTCTCTCTCTCTCGTAGTTTCGAATAGCTTTGTCGGTCCCCGCTCGAGCCGAACACGACGTTTTTCGATTGTGTTGCAGCTCTCGAAGGATTTGTCAAGGTGCGCGAATCTACCTAGGAAATCGTAACAAGAGCGGTGCTACTTTCTTTTCCCAGCGAAAATAAAGACGAAAAGGGCAACCACCATCGGTGCGAGGGACTCCCGACGGTTCTTGATTTTTACGAGCGCGTAAATTCCGGAGGGCAACTTCCTTCTTACTCTCGGCCCACCCCTCTCGTGAATTCCACAGCATGGAATTTCAGGTCGCCATTAACTCCGAATCCCCTCGAATCACGATTTGAAAGAGCTCGCGATACTATTGCGAATCAATTTTTATTTTGGCAAAAAATCAGCTACGTATAATTTCTCTTTTCATCGTTTCGTCGGGAAAAATCTTAGAGCATTATTAAATACTCGTAATAGTGGTTGGAAAAAAAAAGTCAAAAATGGATGGACGAATAACGCGAATCCGCGAATACTTTGGAGGAACGGAGGAACGGAGGAGAGAGAGAGAGAGAGAGAGAGTCCATTAACATCCCTCGGCTGGTCACTCGCGGCAGCATAGTTGGAATCGTTGCTACTCTGTTGCTGCTTCCCTCTCTCCCGACGGAGGGTGGAAAGTGCGCACGTGCAATTCCTCATCCCTCGGTGTCTATCCGGTTACGGCTTATCCCGGTGGTAGTCATGGCAACACAGGGGTCGGTGCCGCCCCTGGCCGCCAATCAGAGCTCACCGAGCTCTCGGCGATCCGTCCCTTCACTCCTCACGGTGGCGGYGGCGGCGGTGACGGCGGCGGCGGAGGCTCCGGCTTCGCTGAGATTCCCGCTTGGGAGGAAATCTTGACCGGGCGTGCCCTGCATCTCTGATACCACCCCTCGAAGGAACTTCCTTCTTGGTTGTTGCTAAAATCGTTCGATAATAATTTGGATTTGTTTGATTTTGACGCAGGTGAAAAGCCGCACAAATGTCAAGTATGCGGCAAGGCCTTCTCGCAGAGTAGCAATCTGATAACGCACTCGAGGAAACACACGGGATTCAAGCCATTCGCATGCGAACTCTGCGGACGAGCTTTCCAAAGGAAGGTCGATCTAAGGAGGCATCGCGAAACTCAGCACGCCGATTTAGGGACGTCGTCATCGTCGTCGTCGTCGTCGCATCGACCAGCACCCGGAATCACCACGATTTCATCGCAGAATTCTTTGCCAAGTGGAAATGTGTCGATAATGCAATGAAGAGGTGCCCATGGATGGAAAAATGCTAATCGCCGGAAGAGTGCAATCGAAGGACAAAGATCCGAAGGAGGACACGGGAACAAAGAAATTTAGGGTGTTTGGATCGTCGTCAAAGTCCAAATCGAATTGTATTTTTGTTTCTTTTTCTTCTTATTCCATTTCGACTAGCAAAACAAACTTCTTTTCTCGCTTTTTCTTAGATATCGTAAACGGATTCTCTGATATCGGCGACGTTTCTTCGAATGGCCAAAGTCGTTGGATCATTAAAACTATAAATAATAGGGAAAGGAGAAAAGAAAGAGAGAAGAAATGTAAAATAACGTTGTTCTACTAAATTATTATATCTATCGTTTGTGAATATAAACCTTATACGCGCGAGGTGGGGGTTTATTATCATAGATACGTAGAGACATTTTAACGTCCTCGTTCTTTGCTCGTTGGTCGATTTTCATCGAAAAATTGATGAAGTTTGTTAGCGAATAAGAGACGAACGCACATCGACGCACACTTTGCATATCTCTTTCGCGAAGAGGAAAGACGACTCGTCGGGACTCCATTTCTGGACAAAGTCCTCTGGATCGCAACTGTGACCAAACTTGTAAATAGCACCGTAGACCGTATCTCTTTTTGTTAGTCTAATTGTAAGCGTTTACTCGCGCGTGCTTGCGCACGCATTACTACATACATATGAATGTGGATATAAAATGACTCGAACCTATAAATATAAATAGAGAAACCGTCAACGTTGCACCGATCCGGTGGCGGTATTTCTTCGCACTAAATTTCCCTTCAAATTCCCCCTCGAATTCCCCTCAAATTCCCCTCAAATTCCCCTCCTCGATGAGACCAACTCTCAATATTGTATTATGTATATTCGATTCTTTCTCCTTCCTCTTTTCCTTATCAAAGTTTTTATTGTTGTACCATTGATATCATTATGTAATTATTGTAATTAGAACTCGCTGCTATTATTATTATTATTATTATTATTGTCTATTATTATATTATCATTATTATTTTTATTATTATTATTATTATTATTATTATGAATAAAAGCTGTTACCATTTGTAAACCGTTCGTTGGTGAGGAATGACGGAACGAGAGCAAAACGCGACTCGTTTCGATTTCAAACGAATTCATCCCATTTTGTCCGAGAGAAACGTCGAGAACGATTAATCGAGATCTCGTTGAATCTGACGAAGCGAAAGATCACGGTCATTTTGACTAGGTCGTAGACTCGATGTAATTCATGGCAATTCAAGGGTCGATGCCAATTAAGCGGGCTGTTACCAAGAAGAAACCCTTAATATATTTTCCCTTTGAGTTTCCTTCTTATTTATATATTATATTTGTTTTTCTTATTGTGGACTAGTGAAAAACGAAAAGATTCAAGTAGAGGAAATTTTGTCGAAAAACGATTTTACTTTGGAAAATGGAATAGGAGAGGTAGACAAAGGGCGAGAGAACATTACGGCACTGACTGCACGACACCATGACGCAGGCAGGCAGGCAGGCAGGCAGGCAGGCAGGCAGGCAGGCAGGCACGGGAGCAGATTGGACAGTTATTGCATTCTGGGTAAGATTAATTGATATGGGACTCGGGCCTAGAGGGGGGCTCGCTTAAACCGTGTCTCAGTCACGGGGCTTGGGATGAGAGAGCGGTGATTAACCAATTGCACCGTTGAACGAACTCGAACCGAAAGCCACCCCTCCCTCACTATCTTACCAACCCCCTCGCTCTAATAGCCATTGAGTAATGGAGAGGCTCTCATTATTAAATAGCGCAGGATAAATGCGCGCGCTTGCGTAGCTATGCGCGCTCGTAGTAGACGTGCGATTATCAAGGAATCCTCATTAACCGCTGCTACCCGTCATGTGTCCCAAGGTGGACACACTCTTTCATCGATATTTCATTATCAATAAATTCGTTCAAAGTTCAACAAAGTTCAACAAAGTTTATTAAATATTCCGACCTATGTGAAAATCCTATCGTAGAAAATGAATAAAATATTAAAACAAAAGAGCAAAAGAGATGGGTACTATTTTGAGTTCGATATTGGAAAATATTGAAAAGAGAAACGAGCTCTTTGAAGCTCTCTCTCTCTCTCTCTCTCTCTCTCTCTCTCTCTCTCTCTCTCTGGTGAATAACTCGGAAAGGACGAGTATTGCATATGAATATAGTCGCGAGAGGATACACCTTATGACTGTTAAGATATTCACGGCCCCGCGGAGGACACCCTACTTTGAAATATTATATTGCCCAACGGGTCAACCTACCTTCTTTTTCTCGCTAGTTTTGCATTAGGAAAAGCGAGATGACATCGTAGATTCGGTGTGTACTTTTCCATATTATTTACAACCTCGTCGTACGCGCTTTACGCTTTACGCCCCGCCGCAATAACTCGACCGAGTGGGTCCACGAGTGTCAGCAAATTGCTGCAAAACGAGAACTACTTTTATTTCTTTCCTCTGCTATTATTGTCATTTTCGAAAGATTGCTTGGTATAGAAAGATGGACTAGTTACGTACGGCGCACGTTGCGTTTACGTTTGCGTTTACACTTGCGTTAAGATTAATCAAGTTAATTACCTAAAGGCGACCGAGCGAGCCACTTTATTAAATTTCTCTATCGAATTGCACTCAAGTTAATGAAACTCTATTATCTTAAATCGTAGCGGGACATGAGGAAGATGAACGTTTTCGCGACGATGGGTCCTTTCTTCCTTCCTTCCTTCCTTCCTTCCTTCCTTCCTTCTTTGGCAATTCGCATCGGTTATATTTCAAACGCGAATAAACTTGCTCGACTACCTGGCTAAAAAAGATAAGTTTATCCAGGAAAAAGCATAAAGGGATGGATGAGTTTGCGAGTGCGCCCAGGCAAATCTCATTTCCGCGAAGCAGCGCGCGAGCCTCGTATTATGGGGATTTTCTTGTCACGGGAGTAACCGGAATGGGCGAGGATTAAAAAATGTCAATTTCCAATTATCGTCGGGGCAGTGTTGCGCGGACATACGGGTAATGGAATTTTTGAAAAGGAGATTATATTTTACTCTTTATCCAATTTTCACTTTGGCTGGTATCACCCTCCTCCCCGCACAATGTTACCGAACGAGACTACGCATTTTGTCTTCGTTGAAACGAGCAAGTTTGCGAGATGGACGTTTGTTTAATTCGTTGAAAATGAATTATGATGGGAGGCTTCGTAATATTCCAAAGGTTTACCGTTCATTACTCTTTTCTATTTTTTGTTTTTTTTTTTTGTTTTTTCTTTCTTGTTTCTTCTTTTTTTATAAGGCGGGGTCAAATATTGTTTTCTCTCTCGCAAACTAATCAACTTTCGTAAGATCGAGGTTGCGACAAGCTGACGCGAGAGTTGTGTCATTTGTCAGTAGGCTTTTCTAATAACGAGCCGAGTCTCGAACGAGTTTAAACAAATAGCTCGGCGCACAAGGCACGAAGAATAAAACGACGAATGGTTGCAAGGAAGGAAGGAAGGAAGGAAGAAAGGAAGGAAGGAAGGAAGAAAGGATGAACCGACACGCTTAGACGCGATCAATCAGTCGTCTTTGACCGGACCAACTTAATACAGTCGACAAATTGATCGAATTCCAAGTATTTGGTCTCTTGAAATATTCCACGATCCGACGATTGGACCTTTGTCGATTCGTTGAAACTTTGAAAAAAAGAAACACAAGAAAATGTTTTATTATCTATTAAATCTATTAAGTCTATTAAATCTATTAGATCTATTAGGAAAAGATATAAAAGACGATAATCTAGTTTTTAGCAAGTTAACCGTAAATACACGGATAGGCGATGACGCCATTCCCCGGAGAGATCGATTCATTACGGATGTTAAATAAATGATAGGGCATCGGCTAGTCGTGGGCTATCGGAATAGTCGTATTCCCGAAGAGCGATTATTCCTCCGTCGACGTCGTAGCCTCTTGGGCGAAATCAACTCCTTGGGATGTGCACAGGGTAGGTGGTCACGTTACGCCGCGCGACCTAACATTCATCTAACAACATTCGCATCTAACATTCATGATCGACCAACTTACTTTCTTTCGATCTCCATGGTAGATTTGTATTTTCCTTCTTTGCTAGAAGTAAAAGAAGGACTGATTATCGCTTTAACGAAAATACAATTGACGGAGGGGAATGAAAGAACGTTTCCCGATAATGATATATATCTTATTTAGGTGGCGTATCAACGCCTACCTGGACCACGTAGTAGTAGTAGTAGTAGTAGTAGCAGCAGCAGTAGTCGTAACTCAGTTTCCAATAGGATCGTCGTCGTCGTCGTCGTCGTCGTCGTCGTCGTCGTCGTCTCTTAGGAATACTTTATGCGACGTTAAGGATTCCAGGCGCGGTGTCGAGCAACTGCATCGGCGACCTTAAGAATAAGGGCGTAGCTAGGCTAGGTGGTATAGTGTGTTGTACCTTTATATCCTTTCTCGAGGAGTCACACGGATAATCGTATAAAGATGACTGCTAGAGCCGCGGATGGGTATCAACTTTTGATCCTTCGGCCGTCGGTATTCAAACGGCTCTAACTCGATATAAGCGACGTTCCCCAAGGTATCCTTCCCCTTTTTATAAAAGTCAACACACACATGCACCCAGGAATAAAAGTATTTTCTTTCAGGACGCACCAATTCGATTTGCATGTTGGGAGAGGCGCCAAAGATGTCACCTACGACACCACTACTATCTCTCTACTACTACGACTACGAAATGATAATCGTCCTATCGAAATTTCTCGCATCTATCTTATTTACATTTTACAGGGTTAACTGAATACTTCTTTATCTATATCATCAATCTTATATACATTTTTCTTTCGAGATATTTATCGGATAAGAATATACGTCGGGTAGAAGCATCTTTTTCCTCTTGAATATTTCTTCAAAGATCTCTTCTCTTACCGATCTTATCGACAGAGTCAATTTCCACTTTCTGTCTTACTTACAATACCTAATCGTTTCTATCTGTATTATTCCATAGTCGATAAAAAGGATATCCAGTTGAACCTATTTTTGGTACAACTCGAAAACCCTCCTAGGTAGACGTGCTAGGAAGTTTCCTACCTTTACACATTACAGGAATTTATCTTACCGATTTCATTAAATCGATACGAATAGCATGATCGGGAGGGTGACGTAGATTTAACGCGTAGTCATTTAACATAGTAGTTATCGTTCCGAAGAAATTCCTAGGAAATAATAGGAATAGAGAGAGAGAGAGAGAGAGAATTCGATTAAAACAGAAATGGAGCTATATTTTATTATGCTATATTTGAATTTTAGCCATATCCAAGAGTACGCCATCGTAGTTTACAAGAATGCTTTTAGGTTAATTCGTATTAACCGCGTTGTTATAAAATCATCGATTAAAAGACAGAAAGCTCGTTATCTGTCACGCTTTTGAGTCATCCTCGATTTGAAATGCGTCTCGTTCGAATTTCGCTTATGTTTTCACGGATGAAAAAGTATGATGAGCTAAATCGCAAAATCGATCGATCGATCGATCGATCGATCGTTAACGACCCTACGCGATAGCAATGAATCCAAGTATAATCTAAACCACGGAATTAGATAATAAGGAGAACGAACTTTATAGGCAATTTGTCATAAATTGTGTCCCCTAAAAAAGTAACAAAATACCAATACTTATTTCTGGGATTTCTTGGAGGGCGGCATGATGATCACCTCGATCATAGTGACGTCACAGAAAATCATTGAGTATATTTTGGGGATACTTTTATACACAGCGATCGTTCTCCTTATTATCTAACTCTGTGATCTAACGTTCCTGTTCGCGAGTAAAAAGGCAGTAATACGTATAGAAGTAAATAACTAATCATAAGTATATGTATATGTATATATATATCGGTAAGAGAATGAACGATTAATATCTAATCGGATTATAGCGTATCGTTAACGATGATTTCGACAAAGCAAAGAGAAAATGTCCTTAGTCTTGGATAATTTATTTATTGGAAAAATGTCTTCTTAAAAGCTCTATTCTATTTAGATTCCATCGCGGTAATCGTAGATTAAATTGTAACATTTCCATGAGATCGAATCGTTTGACGCGATATAAAATGACGACTTGGAAGGTCGATAGATATACGCAAACGATTATAATATTGGATAAAGGAAGACGAATTTAATCGAAATCGATGACGGCATCATCGAAATCGAATCTTTCAATTGTACGATAAATCGCTGGCAGTCAGCGTACGTCCTATTATAACGCATAGAGTCTTAATAAACGGTCGTAACTCGGTTACACGGTAACTCGGTGTTGTCTCCTTCTCAAAAAACTAACCATTATAATAATAATAATCATCATTATCTTTTTTCCGCTTTGTTATCAAAGAAAGAACAAACGACGAATTGTACGTACTTTTAATGATGCCAATTTACGAAATTCTCTCTGTCTGTGTGTGTGTGTGTGTGTATGTGTGTATGTGTGTGCGCGCGTACGTTAATATAATTATTGGGGAAGGCTTCGATTTGTAACTCGAGATGTACATAGAAAACTCGATCAGAGCGCTCGAAACTCCATCTATATTATATTATATTATTATTATATATATTTATTTATTTATTTATTTATTTATTTATTTATTCATTCATCATTGAAATATTCATTTAATAATCTGGCAAGCTTAGCAACAAGGTAGGTACAGATAATTCGTAAACGGCGTAGCTTACGAACGAACGTGTCTTCTCGTTATTTGGCACTAGAATCCCTTCTCTTACAATACATTCAAATCGACTTTTGATCTGCCCCCATTCCTACGAACATCATGTTACATCTTCGATCGGATGAACGCATAATTCGTTCTCAGGCCTAATTTCGTTTATAACTATATGTCATATATCTTGATATCGTTAGGATCTACGTAATATAATACACAATAGACACACACCTTCTTACTTCGAGAAAAGAAGACTGGTAATCTCTCATCAGTAATGTATTATGTATATCTTTGGTTTAACTGTGTGAGCAACGATATATTTAAATTCGCTAAACTCGAATAGTTTACAATAATAATAACAATAATAATAAAAGGAGTAGGAAATATGATGTATAATATAATTAACTCTATTTTGTTGTCTAACGCACCTAACGCGTAGGTACATGAATGAACAACTCTCGATTAACGCCTATCCTTCTATAAATAATTTGCCATAGGTTGGCAAATAAAAGGGTTGCCCTTTATTCATCGTCTGCCTATTTTCTTCGTCGATCGCAAAACTTTCTTGTTCGAGCTGCTGCTGCTGCTGCTGCTGCTGCTGCTGCTGCTGCTGCTGACCAATAATGACCAAAAAATGTAGAAATTGGAAATTGGAATGTTGTCATTTGTAATTTGAAAGATGCGCGAAGGAGGAAAAAGATCTGGCAGAATCCTTCGACAAGTTTTAAACCAAGTGTGGTGGCAGGCTGAGTTAATAATAAAGGGTCTTCTTCTTCTTCTTCTTCTTCCTCTTCTTCTTCTTCTAGGTTCTTCTTTTCTTCTTCTTATCCACTTGGCCTGCTACTGTATAGAACACGTCAATGGATGCGACAAAGCGTGATCGAGCAATATTGGAGTGCCCGCTGCCAATTCCGTTCTCGCATCGCCACCACAATCGTCGTCGCAGTCAAAGTAGTTGCTCTGAAAAATGTCAAGTTGCATTGAAGAACAATATATAATTAGAGTTGTTTCTTCTTCATTTTTTTCCATTTCTCTCGAGTTTGTTTGTTTTTTGTTTGTTTTTTGTTTGTTTTTTGTTTACCTGACAATCGATGCATCGACAACTGTCGGTCAAAGAACACGTTAGTCCGAGTATTTCAACGGCTTCTTTGTAAAGCTCCGCGCTCGACTTTCGTTGCCTCGGCGGAGAAGTGGGTGCGCTTACTGTGCCGGTTCCCGATGGTCTTCTGGCCCTCTTCAATCTCGAGGAGGATTCTCGAGACAAGGAGGAGGTCGACGTCGATCCTCCTCTCGGTCGATCGTCGTTAGTGAGAAGTGCTCGTCCTGCCGGCGAGGCGAATAGTTGCAACATATCCATATCCTGAGAGACCAACAAATCATCAAGCATTTATGAACATTGGTATATTTAATTACACCAAATATCGCAAAAAATATTTCATTTCTAAATAATAACAATAGAAAAGAAGAATTTAGAGCAGAAATCGTTATACCGAAAGAAAATAATTGGAAATGTTCCAACGGTTCACACAAATGTCCAACGGACTTTTTATTCCATTTATTTGGACGAAAATATTGTCAGGGGATTATTTTATTTCTACAATAAGATACCCAGGGGGCCCATAAGATGGCCCATAAGAATAGACATTAGTCGATGAAGAAATTTCCTTTTGCACAATCATACACGATTTAGTTAGAGTTAGTTGCTCGTTAGCGTTATACTTTTTGTCAATGTTCGCGAAACATAGTAAAAGCAATTATCGATCAATTACAGGACGCAAATGTAGACGAGCGGGTCATCATCCATTCGGCCGTTAACTGCGACTACTCGATGTTCCAATTAACAAGGTGGCGCACGTAACAGAAACTCATTAGATTAATTAAACTCTACGTTTTTCAATAGCTCGCTAACGAAAATGATAAGTTCAATTTGTAACAATTTGTAACAATTTGTAACAAAAAATGCAAAGCTTTCTTCTCGTTGATGATCTTTTTTTCTTCAATCAATGATAAATGATTTAATTGAAAGTAACGATTTATTAACCGATGCATTCCAGGGAATTTCCAGGGAATCCGACCGACAACACAACGCGTCTATTCATTCAATCTCTCTTATTTGTTTGTTCTATATTTGAAATCCTTTAGAAATATTCTCAAAGATTATAAGTTAGCCGTGTTTTCATTGAAAAAAGCAATCGAGAGAATTCAACTCGTTACATTTATTCGATACCAAACACACCTGCTGTTTCCTTTTCATAATTACGAATAGGACGAAACGCGAAAGCGTAGATATACACACCGGCAAGGATTCCGGAGTGTGGTCCAGCACGTATATGCTGTTTGTATATCCGTACAACATGGTGTCCAGATCTGAAAGCAAAGAAGAAGGAGAACATTCAATTGAATTGTTTGAAGTTAGATCGGAGAATAGCAATTTCCTAATCTCCAAGTACGCAGGAAATACGGTCAAGAGGTTCTCGCTCGCGGTTTCCTCTCCAATTCGTTAGGATTCAAATATTCTTTCTCTAACTTTTCGTCAGCGCACTAATAGTCGATAACGATTCGTTCCACTTCTCCGGCACATAATCAAATCAAATCAAATCAAATAGAAATTGTATAGAAGGTAAATAAGTCGAAGTGGAAGAGCATCAAATTATTACGGTAATCTCCGGGATTAGCCGTAGTTACGTTCTCGAACGACTATAATCCCATATAGAGTTAGATTTAGGAGCATAAAAACGAGAGACGACGCGATTTTGGGAAAAAATGATAGCGCGATATTCCTTCGATGGACTTTGAAAGCCACTTTGATGATATCGCTGGTCGATCCATTTTCATGCAAATGGTTCCGCCGTCAACCGACCGACCGACCCTTCACCGATGCGCCGCGTTTACCTTATCCGAAAAAGTAAGTGTGAAAGGGAAGTCGGTCGGTCGGTCGGTCGGTCGGTCGGTCCACCACGAAAGCAGTTCGATCTCCACGATCGAATTTCAATTTTCCTCCTATACCAACGGACTTTATTTTATCAACAATTTTCCCAAGAGAACTCTCCGAGAGTTACTTATTTGCCAAAATACAGTCGCTAACGATTTATTCCGTGATTGCGTAACGAAGGACGAGGAGGAGAGACATTTTTCACTGCAAACAGTTTCCGCTTTCAGCTGCATTCGGACAAATGAATGTATTGCGACGACGACTTTCCTAACGCATTCCTTTTCTTCGATCGTTTAGAAACTTGGACAGAATGATTAGTTGGATGAAATAGTTTTCCATCCTATTGCGTAGTCTGCCCAAATCAATTTGACAAACTTTACCTACGCGATAAACGTCTTTTATTACTTCGAGCTAGTTTGAACGAAATTCAATGTTTCACAGTAAAAAACTACAAAAACGACGCTTTGTTGATACGCCAAGATACGCGTTCTACAAAATATCATTGCTTTTTGACAATGAGTCTACGATGTTATCGAGAAATATCTGTTGTATATCTGTTGTATATCTCTTGTATATCTCTTGTATATATATAAACTTGAAATGCGAGCGTAGGATTTATCTCGCGTAACATGAATTATAGGAAATAGCGATGAATCTCGATATCGTTCGTGTCCCGACACAATACAATTGATTTCCCTAGCAAACTCGATTCGTAACCAGTTTCGATTGCTATTTAAAATAATCGGTATGCGTTGCTAATCGATTATATCTTGTTACGTATTATGCCTTCGCTCGCGTGCATTTCTATACAATATATTCGAAAAATGAAAGTGTCATTAAAAAGACAAGAAATAGATATAATGTTTGAACGTTATTCAATGGTTTACGGTTTATCGCACTATATCGGCTTCGCAAATCGCAAATCGCAAATCGCGCGTAACGCTTACATCAATCATTTGATCGGACATTCAAAGATACCTACATCACATATCATTGAAAGAAAACGTACGCGCGTTGGTTTAGTTAAGTTTAGTTAGCGATATGCAAATTTCACGTTAAATCGAATCAATATTGCATTACGGAGCAGGGTCCGACACGATTGAATTCTCTGTGCGTTTCCATAGGAAATTCATGTTCGTTTATTCTTATAGAAAGATTTTCAGGGTATCGTAGACGTTCCGCTTTTAAAGAATGATCCGCTTTAAGGGAATAATCCCACGAGAGGTGGAAGTTTCGCAGAGTAATAAATGATGATAGAACGTCCAGAAAATGATTAGTTTCAGTTTGTCGATTGGATATGCGAGGATAAACTAAGAAAATAGACTAAGAAAATAGACTAAGAAAATAGACTAAGAAAATAGACTAAGAAAATAGTAGAGAAAAACTTGCATTTGACAGAGGTGCTTATCGATCGAAAAAAAGTCCCAAGTTTCTATGGGATACCAGGGAAGAAATGGCCCTGACCTAGTAAGGACCATGAACCCGAGTTATGGGCTTTGGTAGCAGCAGCGTAGGGACGAAATCAAGAGCGGAGAGAGCAAATACACGGAGGGCCACTTGGGTAGCGTTAAATAATTCATAGACACGGGCATCGGTGGTCGCTAATACTACTACTACTACTACTACTACTACTATTACTACTAGTAGTAGTAGCCCATTCGACCGTTCATCACGAGCAATCGATTGGAGACTACGGGGGGAGGAGGAGGGGTGGGGGTGGGCGGACTTGCCCTCTGCCTGCCACCAACCCCACTAAGCACACCCTACTTATGATGCCTACGATTTCCAAGAATAAGCATTGACATCGATCAAAATTCGAACCCAACCAACCAACCAAGTAGAATGAATGCGATATTGCGATAGATGGAACAACCAAACCCAACACGCGTTTTTTCTTCTTGCTTGCGAGCTATTAAACGCTATTAAACGGTATTAAAGCGCTAATGGAGTTAGAGAAAGGACGACCGAGGGATCGATCGATCTCTCTCGACAAAATACGGCCAAGCTTTTTGCAAGGATCGATAAGAGAACTCATAATTCCTTTTCACATTTTCGCGTAGGCATTCGCGTAGGAATATTGAAAAGCTATTTTACTTGTGATATCGAGAAAAATGTATTAATGCGATTAAAAGGCAAAAAGAAGAAAAGGAGCCGAGCCGTTGCTATTCTTTCGATAAGTAGACTAACTATATTTTCAAAAGAAACCAGATGGCGAACGAGCGAAACATCGAAGCGATAGAAATCGAAACTTTTCTCTCTAGAATCTTGTTCTCTCTATTCGTGGAATTCAACGTGGATTCAAATAATGACCAAGTTCATTAAAGTAATAAGGTGTAGTTATTAATGCTCCGAATACCATTTTTATTCGACGTTGCGTTAATTAATGTCTGGATTAATTATCGAAGAATGTAAAGTTTCCATTTTCGTTTCGACACGCAAAGGTGCCTGTCGTCTGCCTGCTGGTTATACTGTTGAACGACAAAAAAAAAAGCGAACAATTTAATGTCCAACTTTAGCTACTCTTTGCGTTGGTCGATAAGCAAAAGGAGGAACGTCGTCGTCGTCGTCGTTAACCGTTGCATAATTCCGATAGCTCCTATCAATGCGAAATCATTAGTTGAAATTAATGCGATTTCTATGGGAGGCGTGCTTACGATATTATATGTATGTACATACTATCGACTATCGACTATCGGCTATCGGCTATCGGCAATTTCAATATTTACATGCATACGAACGAGCGAGCGAGCGAGCGAGCGAGCGAGCGGCCACGGTAGACGACGACGATTGCCATTTACTACCGCAATAAATATAGTTTGCTGTCGATCATTTATTGCAGCGTAAAAAATACAATGCGGTGATCGATGTCGCATTTTTAATCGTTTTATGGAAAATATATAAATCGTCGAGGCACACCGACCTGTAGGCGTACATGGAGTTCTTGCTGCTTCCACGAGGTCTTCGCGACTTCCAGGTGGAGCCTCCAGCATGGTCGCACTCCCGGAGAATTTCCTTACGCACAGCAGGCTCAACGCTGTAACAAAGATCCTAATCAATATCAATATAAATCACCCTTACGCATATATAATCTAGTTACTTCATTTGGACTTATTATTATTCTATTTGTTTTCCTATTACTATCCTTCATCACATTTCGTATTAATCTTTTACGCGGGTCTTATCCTTGGTGTTGCGTAGCACGCAACGTAAGGCGTAAATCGTATATCATATTTCCCAGCACATTATTGAACTATAAAACTCGATTCGAATTTTCTAGAAGACCATAGAATCCAAAACAGACACACTAAAAGAATTCTCTTTAAATCTTCAAAGCACTGGTGCATTGTTAGATCTCTCGAGTGTTATACGATACACTATGTAAACGTGCGATAAGACGGAGAGAAAGAACATTACTCATAGGAAAGTTCCTTTATTCTTAAACTCCACTATGACCCTTACTAAAGCTCTTCCATCGGGAGACCCCCGTGGGTGGACCCGTCTACTATAGGTCAATCAACTTGGGTAAGGGATTTTTTTGGTATAAAAACCCCTCGAAAAATAACATCAGTCAAGAAGAAGAAGAAGAAGAAGAAGAAGAAGAAGAAGAAGCAGTCTACACGCGGCATCGTACTACACGCCTTGCAAGCAGCAACGACAATCAAGAACGAAACTATTTTATCTAAGTTTTTACTTAGCAAAAGGAGAAGAGACATTTTTTGCATTGACCGCGATTACAGTTGCGGTAGATCCGCTTTACCCATCGAACATTCTAATTTCAAGGGAAAATAAAGAGGAAACATTTCTATCTTCGATCGCGTACGAGTGGAAGTAGCAAATATAAAATGTGCCATTTCATTTATTGCGATGGGATGCGATAGGATCGATCTTCAAATGTATTATTATATATAGGTTTTTCCTAGCTACGTCGCGTAACATTTCTAACAACTGTTGGAACGCATTCGCTCGAGAAATTCCAACATAAGTATATTGTAGGTGGAAGAACTGTGTTGTGTGCAAATTGTTTGCTGGAAAAATTGAGAGAAGCTTTTACTCTCGCAAATTCCGCGTCGATCGTTGTTGCACACACCAGTTCTCTGCGGTTTGCAAAGGTTACTCTCTATGCGCATTTACAAAGGTCCTATGCATAAAGCAGCAGCGAGCTTTCCAATCGCTTTGTCTGCCAAAGAGATAGAAAAAAGAAACGCTCGTGGTTAGCGTAGATAGAAGTTACCCTTAATGCCCTATCGATTTCGTCCAAGGCTACATTCGAAAGGATAGTGAAAATATAGAATAATAGAAGTGAAAAATAGCTGACAAAATGTCGTCTAGTCTTACCCCGCTTCACGTCTCGCCACGTGTTCGTGATTTCGATGAATCTACGCTGCCCGTTTGGTGTTTATCCATATAGTCCTCTCACATTCTTTCGCCGTCCGGTATACAGAGCGACTCTGAAAGAAAGCAAAGGAAACTTTATCCTAAAAGTTGGGAATAAATTAGACTAGAGACTAGAAACTCGAACGGTCGAACCTACCGTGACAGTTAACATCGGAGGAAGGTTCATGCGTTATTCATGAAATTCTTGAGTTGTGAACGTGTTCTCGTTTGGTCACGTGGCTGAACACAGTTGACGCAAATGCAATAGGTAAACGAGGAATCTGTTTTGCGCGTGCATAAACGCAATATATGCATGAGACGACAGGAGGACAGGGTGCACACTAATTCCACCGACTTGGTGCATCAACCAGGGTCGGGGTCGTCGTCGTCGTCGTCTTCGATTAAATAGGAAATATTGTAGTTGTTGCAATACAAAATCCCCTTTCTAAACGTTCATCACGCAACACACAAACGTCAAATCGCAACACATTTATTAGTAGGCGCAAAATTTGGTCACATCTAGTAGAGAAGAGCACGTCCGAGTAAACATGGAGGATAAAACACGTACGTGCCTTGCTGTGGGCACGACAATGGGTGGTGGTGGTGGTGGTCGACGAATAAGCCGCGAATTCTCAAGTTACGTAATCAAGTTTCTATTGTAATCGCGTAAACGTGTCATTTCTATGGCAGGTGTTATGCTTGAATGGCGAAGATCGATGAATAGACATTATTTCACGGAACGTTCCCATTCCTATACAGTATTTTTTTCATAATGTCTCGTTAAATCGTATCGCGTTCGTTGCGTTCTAAGTCTTTCCAATCGATTATTATCGAAGTTTCATTGTAAATCAATTTTGTAGTTTGACAACTATTTCTTTCCTACGTTCGGCAATCCTGCAAACAAATACGTCAATATAATATTAAATCGTGAAAAGGGTTCCTTCCATTTATCTTTCAATTAATTTTTATTCGCTAAACTTATAAAAGGGAGGAAAGAACAAAATCGAAGATTGATCGCGAATATCGAGTATATCAAGATTATTCGAACAACAAACGAAATTGGTCGTAAATCGTAAGAAGGATGGATGGATCTTTTATCTCTTAAGGTGATTCCGTTCGCGTTCTCTGGCTTGTAAGAGCGGCGTTCGGCTGGCACAGTTACAAGATAAGGGATGCTCCTCTCGCCACTTGTTCTTAATCTCCGCTTCGACAGTAACAAACAAACCTTTGCACCTATTTTCGTCGTTCGTTAATCGGCATCCGTTATCGAACGATCGCAAGCTTTATTAACTCGGTTGGTCCGTGTGGTTATGTCCAGCATGGTCGGACCATGACTCTCTCTCTCTCTCTCTCTCTCTCTCTCTCTCTCTCTCTCTCTCTCTCTAGTCTCCATAGACTCGTCCGGATAGTAATTTGCAAGGAAGAGTGACACTATCTCGCTTATCACTCCCAAGTGCTTGCGGTACTCCCCTCCTACCTTATGCATTAATATGGCATATATCTACGTTGAGCCTTTCCCAATTTACCATCATGCCACTTGCAATTACTTCAATATTCCGATTGCTTTGATTTACTACTTTTATTTTCTTTCTATTTTCTCCATAAGACTTGACGAGGACTCATTCAAAGACTCATTTTAGAGACACGCATAGAAATACGTACACGTACGTGCCTTAGGTATACCTATATATAAACGTTGTATCATGAAAAAAGGACGAGTTATCCAACTAGTTATAGTATCCAAAGTACGTAGGAGAGCAGTATAAAGCAGAGAGCACGCTAGAAAGATCTCCTATAAACTGCACCCTCTTGAAGAAGCGTATACATTTTTCTTCGTCCTACTCCCTTCCACGTCTGAGACATCCGCTAAATCTCCAAGAGTGTATACAAACGGCAATTCGTCTTGAAGACTTTCTAGAAAAGTTGCATCAACGCTCTTGAGTTTCAACTCAACAGACAAAGATGCAAATTGAATCGTAGGAACGTGGCGGCGATGCACGATTGAGAATAAAAAAAGAAATCGGCTAGCTCGACTAAGAAGATGAAATGAACGAATATTGGCTAAAGTTTCGATGACGAGTATGGAATTGGTTGGAAACGACGACGCGTTGCGATTAATTCAATCAGAGTTGGGAATGCCATAATTAATCATGCCAACCGAACTTTTCGACGATTAAAGTATTCTTTCGAGAAACAGATAGATCTAAATTGTAACAGTGTTATTTGACGAAAAATTTCGAGCAAGCAACTGATTTACGGAACAATGCGTCGTAAAATGATAACAAAAAATAAAAAACGTATTTTGTAACTGTGACGTACTCACACCGATCGTTGCTCGTTCGGACCTAACTTACACAATGTGCGCGACCCAATTAGCGTTGCCGTTGGCGTTACCATACCCTACCATACGCTACCATACGCTACCATACGCTTGGTAATGGCTCGTATTACTTATACCAAGTCGGAACCGCGATTCGGGTTTGATTCGGGTTTGATTCGGGATTCACGTTTCACGTGACCAAGCGTATAGACTGTAATTACATGTTCCTTTCTAAATACTTATACATAGTAATATATAATGCGCGATAATTGTGTATGCAACGAATGTACGTAAGACTTTTATGGAAAAACGAATTTTACGAGTTGTTTGTATATATTTATTCTCTCTAATGGTAAGTTAATTTGGCAAAATAAGATTCGGACAAAGGTTTGAAGAAAACAATTGAGAGTAGGAAGGAACGACGAAGCTAATAAGCGCAGCCAGATAAAGCAAGTTCCTTTATCGCAAGACAAGTTTAGTTGTTCCAAAAAGAGACGAAACAATCGAGCAAGAGAGTAGACGACGACGACGAAGACGACATTTATCAAACGACGAGGCACGTACTTTCTTTGCACGCCAGCCACGTTTCGTCTTTTCACAATCCTTCCTTCTCCTTTGTTTCCTTTGCGAGTAACGTTCCAACAAGATTCTTCATCAACGCGTTCGAGTCAAACTTCGTCAAGCTTGCTATAAAAAAAGGGACCTTTTTCCAATCTTCCTAACTTTCATATAACGTGAACAAATACACGTGTTTGCATCCTTATCGAGGTACCACTCCGTATGTTTTTCCAAGTAATGTTCGAGAAAGCCAAATTACCTGGCTTTTTATTCCAAAGTATATAGGGGCGAAAAGCGGACAATATATAGAAGAGCCGATAAACACGTCGACTCCACGAGTATGGTACGTGATAATAGGATGCGAGAGGCATCGTATTGTGGCGAACACAATGAACTTCTCGTTTCAACGTTTCCCAGGCAAATGCCTCTGGCAGTTCGTCCTCGAATGAGAAGCGAATGCCTTCGAGCATAAGTGTATCGTACACGGTACAATGAAATCTTACAAATTAAAAGCGTCTCCGACTCTCCAAATGTCTTTTCTTGCCCTTACGTTTGCCCTTACGTTTGTCCTCACCTATCCTATATAATCTAGTATCTCTCTCTCTCTCTCTAAATCGAAATTTCTTTCATTCTAATCGGCTTAATATTTCGTTCACTTTGATTAAAGTCACTACTATTTGCCTTCTATTTCTTCTATTTCTATATTAGAACGAAGAAGACGTCGACGTTGGCTTAGACGAACATTTTGCGTGTGTGAAAGAAAAGAAAAGAAAAAAAAAGAAAAAAAAAAAAGAAAATTAATGGAAAAGGAAAGAATCGCAATTTGGGTAAAAGCAGGATTTACACTTTTTCATTTTTTTGTCTGTGTCCCTTTTTGGAGCAATATATTTAATGGAATATGTATAATTATCAAAAGAAGTTCAAAGTGTAATATAGTGTAATTAAGCAGGGGGCACATCATTTGCATATATTATACATTATATCCGTTGCACGTTCGCCATCGTCAGCAGTATATCGCCAAATGTGGCGCCAAATCAATTTTCGCCCTAACTGATGATAATCGTTAAACGTTGTTATGTCATTTTAATCTATATCGGGCCTCCCGACGACATTCCTCTATAGGACTACTAATAGAGTCGATACGCGTTTGATACGCGTTTGATACGCGTTTGATACGCGTTTGATACGCGATAATGTAGTAATGCGGCAATGCAACGATGAGAGTTTGTTTCTACAATTATTGACTTTTCATTGGAAAAACAAGAGCGCTCGTCCACGACTGTATAGAAGACAGTAGTAGAGTATAACAGTGTTTCCAGTTACAAGACAGAGAATAACTGATTTGTAGCCTTGTCGAAGGTTCGAGCTTATAAATCTCAAGCAGCTCGACAGCCTTCTCCTTTCAGCCATCGGTCCGTGTCCTCTCCCTTGTTTCCTCCTTTCGCGTTATCTTCTATCCAAGCGCGCATAACAATAACGCACGACCTGCTTATGATTTATGCTCGCGCATTTGACGTCGCTCCTACATACATATAACTGACGTTGGCGTATCCGTCTAATCTGTGTGTGTGTGTGTTGTGTGCGTCGTTGCAAGTAGACAAAATGGCAATGTAGGCAATTCCAACCGAACGGACACGCGTGAAAACAGCAGAAATCGCTCGATCTTTATTTTAATAGAGAATAACGAGGACAGTAGTTTGGGCTTGGCATTAATGAACGTTCAATTATCACCTTATTGAAAACCAAATATCGTCCCGACTTTCCAATTAATGTGAAAGGAGAAACCTTTAGGTAGTCACCTTTGAAGCTTTTACGCGTTTGACTGTTTCGGCGGATTAGGGGGGATCGACCGAATTAGTTCCGGTAGGCCTCGCGAGGTTAACGATCTCCCATTGGTACTCCATTTCCATGGAAAATCCGTAGGCGGCTTAACCTATCGTTTTACTCTTTGTTACCCGTTAAACTCGATCTATTTTTTACATATCGTTCCCGTGTACCATTACCCTGTAAACATTGGCACGGCTTAATGAAACCTACTAAATTGTAAAAGGTAATTGCTGTAGGAACTCGACATTTAAATAATTACAAAAGAACGAAACTAAAAATACTTGTCATCAATAAATTTCTGTTATAGCATTATATAACTAGGAAGTAGTAATCGAAGGATCGGAATCTTGTTAAGTGGCAGCGGTCAGTCCTCATCGATTTGGAAAAGTATAAAGATAAAATACGAATTGGTGGTCGATCGTGTGTGTGTGTGAGAGAGAGAGAGAGAGAGAGAGAGAGCATCCTTCCTTCCTTCCTTCCTCCCTGTCTCTCGTGGTATTCCAAATTGTTAACTATCGGCCAGGCGGCTCTATTGATTCGGTGGCCTCGAGGTGGCATAACGCGGTTCGACCAATTCACCGATGTCGGTAAGCATGGAATGCCTGCCTGCCTACCTGCCTGCCTGCGTACCTTTTCGCATAACTTACCACGACCAATCTATTTACTTTTCTTTTTAACAAACGAGACAATTTTCGATCTAAAATGCAATTAAAGTTACTACGTCTGATTATTGGTGTCTGATGTTTCCCATGGTGGTTGGTGGTTGGTGGTCGGTGGTCGGTGGTCGGTGGTCGGTGGTGTGCTCCAATTTTCTTTCTATTCCAACTTTCAAACATAATTCTATTTGTTTAGGATCGTACGGTAGAGCGAGCGACTTTTTTATCTTATACTTTCTTAACGTATGATCATTAGACGTACTCTTGTGCGCTACTTCATTGCTCAAAAAGAGGCCACACGGACCTTCCAAACAACTTCTCTCTCCGCTTAGACTTTTGCGACTTTCGAGTATACTGCACGCTAAAACAACCTTACAAGAGACAAAAATGTGGAAACAAAGAGAACGTAATTTTCTCTCTTACGTCATAGTTGTGTGTCGCAAAAACGCTCCTATATTTTTCTCTCTCGTCGTTACTACAAACGAACGTACAGATGCATCACACAAATGCATTGCTTATTGCACTTGGTTATT